CTCACACCGCACCTCCCGAGGCTGCACCCGGAGATGGCTTCACAGAGCCGCAGTCCCAAGGCGCGTCAGTGTTCTTAGGATCTGCTCTCACCTCTGACATCTGAGATCCAAATGAGCACAAAAGTGCAAAACATTTCTTGTGAGTGGGGTGAAAACACCGAAGCGGCTGGAGCCGAGGTCCACCCTGGTCTGAGGCCTCACTAACATGGCCGTCTTGGGAGAGCCCCCAAGTCGGGGAAGTCTGTCAGAAAACAAATGTTTAAAGTCTGTAAGTATCCAGACCTGCGCAGTTTCACCAGCTTTATCATCTTTTTAAATATTTATTCGGCTGCGCTGGGTCTTCCATTTTGGGATCTTTGATCTTCATTGTGGCATGCACTCTTAGCTATGGTGTGTGGCATCTAGTTCCTTGACTGAGGATTGAACCTGGGCCCCGTGCACTGGGCGCACAGAGTCTTAACCACTGGACCGCTGGGGAAGTCCTGTGCCAGCTTTAAGTGGGGCTTTTTACTCCAGGATAAAGCCAATAAGCAACATTTCTGTCTGGCAGGGATTGAATAAAAATATCGGGCTCAGACTTTGTGAATTTTGGCATCGCTTTGTCTCCTTTAGGAAATGCCATGGAAGAAAAAGACCCTTCCAAACCCAAAGACAGTTCCAACCCCCTGCTCAGTTCCTGAGGTTCAGAGGGAAGAGTGGGTGGGGGCTGTGCCGCCTGCGGGTGGGAGGCCGGCTCCGCCCTTGGCCCTCCAGCTCCTCCACCCACTGTCCCCCCAACACAGAATGGGGGGCGAGGAGGGGAGATGGAGGACCGGCCGGTGGGGAGGGAGGAGGCACCGGGGAGGACCGGTGACAGGTCCGTAATCTGGCTCAGGCCCTCAGGGCCCTGCTGCCAGCAGTGCTCAGAGGTAGAGCCCTGTCTCCTCTGCCCTGGGTGTTCTCTTGGGCAGTTATTGTCACTGATTTTTGTAAACGAGTGAAACAGGAAATATTGTTACAACTTTCATAGCACTTCTAGTCAGTCAGGTGTTGGTTTTATATCATCTTTGTTTAATGATGGCATCTGTCAAGACTGTTCTCAGTCCTGGTGGTGGTCTCACAACACCCACACCCGTCTCTCTGGGAGCAGAGGTGAGGTTTAGCTGTGGATGAGGGGTCTGAGTGCAATGGATGACTTTTCGGATGTTGGCTTTAAAAGCTGAAGTTTGGCTCCCACCGGATGAGTGTTTATAGAAACCTGCGTGTCAGACCTGTGAGTCTTGGAAGAATGCGCCTCAGGTCCACTTTCTGCTGGGAATGTCCCCTGGGCCACCAGCTGTTGGCACCTTCAAGTTTAGGCGGCACCCGATGCACCTGTTTTGCCCGCGAGCGGCCTCCCCGTTTGTCCTCCACCCAGGGCGGTGTCTGGCTGGGTCGTGGCTTGTACGTTCCGCTCTGCCCCGTCTCTTGCTGTGCACGGCCACAGCCCCCAGGAGGCGCCCATGCCGTTCAGCCGCTGCGGTGACCTGGGCCGGCCTGTTCTCCGACAAGCCCTGAGGGTGTAGCTGCCGGACCCCTTGCAGCACAGCTTGGGGTGGGGTGGGAGGTGGGGGGCAGGCTGACTGATCCCACCTGTGCAGGTCGGCCTCCCCCCTCGCCCAGGATGGCCTGGCCGAGCCAGGCAGCGGCAGGAGGGGGGCCTGAAGAGGGGGCCATGGGACACGGTGCTTAGGCAGCTGCTTCTGCAGCACCACCCCCCACTTTTCATCAAGGGCTCATCCCGAGTGCTCTTCAATGCTGGCAAACAAACGCTCACCCAGGTCCTTGAGTGTTTTGTGCAGATTCACTAAGAACAGCTCCGCAGCCCTAACAGAGCTCTTTGGCTTCCTCCTAGGCCAGTATTGCGGGGGGAAGCAGTGATCAGGGCTCCCGGGAGCCAGGCAGCGCCGTGTGTATGATCCACTGCGGGGAGGGGTTGAGGTTAGACCATGTTTAGCACTATGAACCAATTGTTTTTCAAAAACGTCTGCTTTGGCTGTTTTCCTCTCTTTTGGAAGGTTGGCATTTTCTAATCATATTCTTTACTGCTTGTGTCTCCCAAGGACTATGTATACAGCTATCACAAGCAAGAGAGTATTGAAGTTGTTTTTAAAACTACTTGACGCTGAACTGTGGGGCCATGAGGAGCCTGTAGATGAAAATATATATGTATGTGAGTGAGAGTGATAATGATATGTAATATCAAAGCCCCTCCCACAGCTGATCAGTTGTGTCCTTTCTGCTTTCCTTCCCCCTGCACATTCCTTGGCCGACCCTGGGAAGGCCCCACTTGGTTTCTGATGAACGGAGTGAGGATGCTTGAGGCTGGCCAACCCAAGACGGAGGCTGTAAACACCCTGTGCTCTGAAACTGCTCCTCACTGAAATAAGAATAATCTTGTACCCCAGCAGCCTGATTTTGCATCTCTCCATGTGCCCAGCTTGGTCTCTGGAATTCCATTAGAGGGTAATTGAACGTTCATGACAGTTGAGTGGAAACAGGTCTGTGGGTACCAAGAAAAGAGGGTAAAGATTCAGCCCACCCACCAGTCCCCTGCCCCCTTTCCTGTATCCAACAATCCACCCCACCCACTGACACCAAAATACACGAGCCAGTTGGCTGTAGTTGGTAGATAATAACCTACTCAGCATTTGGGACAAGTTCTAGCATGTATCTTCCCCTTGGTGAGCGATCCTGACAGGAGAGATGGAATTGAGCTTAATTTATATCATCTAATAATCTCAGTGCAGCACCGTGGGAAGTTAGCCTTCCAAAATTGCCCCCAGACTTTTCCCCAGTGAATTACAATGCCATCTATTCTTTTTTTCTTTTTTTTAACCAGCTCTACTCCCACAATTACCTGTTTAGTAGTTTTCACATTTCACAAACCAAAGCCAAGTGTCAAGGTGTGTCTGACAGGTGCACACAACCTGCATAAAGAAATGAGGTGGTCTGGCTGAGGATTCCCGGGTCGGGGGAGAATCCCCAGGATTATTGTGGTCATGCCCGGCTTCATTTTCAGACAGAACGCTGGCCCTCCGGCCCACCCATCAAGTTGGCAGTCGCCTGGAGTCAGCAGAGGGCGGGCTGCAGCAGAGCTGTGAGGGGTGTGGTGAGACCCGAGCCTCTCCCCTCCTTCCCCATCTGCCTTTGACTAATGAGGTGTTAGACTGAGCCAGCCAGGGCTGAGTTAATTTCAGGGCTAATCCATTTCCTGCTACTTTTATTCAGCCAGCACCATCCATCAGGAGGAGAGGAGAGCCCTGGGGACCCTCTTCTGCATCACCCCAATATCTTGAAGGCAGGGAAGGGCAGCAGGGGGCCTCCCGCCCTTATTAGAGATGCCAAAGGTGTAGAAACACGTGAGGCCTTGGTGACAGAGATGTCTCCACTCACTTCCGGCTGCTGTGAGGCTGGCCGGTGCCCCCACCCCCGCCCCAGCCTGGCAGCCGCTTCTCCCTGCCCGGGTGGGCTCAGCTCCAAAAAGATGATTGTGCTTGTCAGACGAAAGATGCATATTGAGGCCATCCACGCTTCTGCTGCAAAATCCTTTAGGAGAAAGACAACTGGTATCCAATATCTTCAAGTAATGAACTTATCAGTAAATATAACACACGGGCTCATTAATCTTAACTTTGCTTTTGGGCCAAGTGGGAGCTCAGCTTCTCGGGAGATGCAGTTTCATTTGTTCCTTCCCTCAAACCTCGTCCTGATTTAGACTCAAACACGCCACCCTGCTCTCCCTGGGAAGCAGTTAATAGTGTTTTTTCGCACAACGGATTGTCCAGGCTCGGCCTGTTTGCTCAGGCCGTGATCACGTGTCTGCACGGGGTGTGATCAGGACATCAGAGCAGGGCCATGAGTGTCCTGAGGAATCTTCTCTAGGTAAAGATGATCTTAAAAGTTAAGGCTTGACACTCTTGTCCTTTGTAGCCAGTCTTTGCTTCAGCTCCCACTGCCCTGACATCACTGCCTCCGCTCCCTTTTCTCTGAAGGGAGTGGAGGATGGGGAGGGCGGCGGACCACAGGGCACTGCACTTCACACTGTCTGCGGGGGTCCGGGCCTGAGAGAGATCTCTGAGAGGGATGCTCTTTGCCAGGGGAAGGAGTGCCGTGTGCACTGGTGGGGCCAGGAGGGCACTGTCCGCCCCAGGCGTACAGGCCCCAGGAGGAGGTTTAGGGAAGGGTTCCGATTCTCTGCAGCTCAGGCCTCTGGTACCTGGAGGTGTGACCAGATAAGGGCTGATGGGATGCGGTGATGGGGGAGCCAGCCCAGATCTCCTGCACCTTCCCTGAAGGAAAGGGCCAGACAGACCCGGGAAACTCAGATGACTGTCCACCCCCCTGATGCAGCTCCTGCCCCCGTGTCCTCTCCTCAGCTCTTCCTTCTGCCACATCTTGGTTGCAGAGAGCCTGGCCCGCAGCCCACCCACTCCCAGGAGAAGAGGCAGGCCCAGGGCAGGGGGTGGGGGGCTCACCTCCTGCCCCCCAGGTGGGGTTGGAAGTATGCGGCTCCACTGAGACACCAGTTGGACTCAACATTTCTGTTCTTTCCTCTTTAAATACCACCTTCTCCAGCACTTGAAATCACGTGTTTTCCTGGAGGGCCCCATGCGTGTGTGAGTTTGGTTTCCCTCAGCCTTTCAGAAGCAGTGGGTGTCCTGAGGTCGGTATTGAGGCTTGCTCTGGCCGGGAGGCGCCGCGCCACCAGCTCTGCTCGCTGACACCGGCGTGGGGCTGGAGGACGGGCTGCTGGCCACGCGGGCGCCTTGGGGCTCCACCCTCAGTGCAGCAGGAGCCCCTTGGACTCACATGAACGCGCTGGCTCTCTTGTTGGGGTGGGGGTCGTAACAGCAGGAATCTGTGCTGTGCCCACTGTCCGCTCCCTGGACCGTCCTCCTGCCTGGACCTGAGCGGAAGCCGGGCTCAGGGCCCACGGGGCCACCCTAATCTCGTCTTCTCTGCTTCTCCCGCTGCTGCAGGTTACGTGTTCTGTATGTTGCATCGCCTCCCTGAGCAGCATGACTGCACGTTTGACCACATGGGCCGTGGCAGAGAGGAAGCCATCCTGAAAATGGTGAAACTGGACCGGAAAGTGGGGCGCTCTTGCCAGCGCATCGGGGAGGGGTGCTCCTGAAGGCCGGCTCGGCCACCACGTGACGCTGTTCTTAGTTCACTAATGTTAGCCTTATTTAGGACAAAGTCAGCCAGACACCTTGTACTGGGCACGCGTCAGACTACAGCCAGTCCGTTTCCTTTCCTTAGCCAGCCATCCTGGTACTGTAGTTTAGGGGTTGATGGTGGTTGAAATTGATTTCTGGCTGGTTACTAAGGTGCCTGCTAGCCATTGTATAAAATTAAAACATGAAGAATATTTTTTTTGAGCATGGCTAGTGGATTTAAAACCACACATACCTGTCACTGCTGGAGTCAAACTTAAAAAAGCCTTAAGTGGAAAGCGTTCCAGACGGAGACTCTGAGTCACTAGAGGAGAAGCTGGTGTTCAAGTCCCCACGACGCACGTGGCTTTGCCGGAAGCTCTGGTTAGCGTCTGGCCTTCACCTCTCCACTGTCCTTAGTCCCGGTAGCCAGGCCCCCTGACGGCCAGACGTGCCTGGGCCGCAGGCAGCTGCTGAGATCGGCCCGTGGCTGGGCTGGGGGTGGCCTTGCTCTCCCACTGAGCAGGAAACGGGGGTGGGGGCAGGTTCTTAAATTTTTTTACCTGAACTAATATGAAAAAACTCTCTCATCACACGAGACGAGAAACAATAACCTCACTTTGAAAATTAGCTCCACTCAAGACTAGCCCACGAACAAGAACCACCTTTTCTACACAGGCCCCCCCGGTCACAAGAAGCGACCGGGCGCCCTGACCCCACGGCTGTGGCCTGCTGTCTGCCGAGTGCCGGGGCCCGGCCCTGATCGAGTCCGGCTGACTGCGGCACGGCAGCTGTGCCGACAGACTGGCCTCTGCAGCTGGGTTTTTAAAGCTGTTTCTTAGCCACGGGAGCCGATAGCCGTGCTGGGAGCTGCCCGCAGCCCCGTCCCGTGCACCAGGATCATCCTCACCCCTCAGGTCCGTGCGGCCCCGCGGTCCACAGGCCGCCAGCCCGCTCTCCCACGCGGAGGCTCGTTCGAGGGGGCAGCGTCCGTCGCCGGGACTGAGGTGGGTCTGTCTAGAGCGTGGATCGTGGTCGGGCGGGGAGGGCGTGTGGCTCAGCACGCGCCTCTCCGGAGGGCAGAGGGGTGGAGTGGAGGCGGTAGCTCAGGCCAGGTGGGGACGGCCTGTTTGGCCCCTGTTAGGAAGTCCTCACCAGTCCGGTGGGTGGGGGGTAGGAGGGAAGAGGGGCCCTTGAGAGCCTGAGCAGCGGTCTGGACGCCCCAAGCCACATCCGACCCAGGCCGATTGGAGCTGCCCACGCCCAGGCTACGGGAGAGTTGAACCCAGCAACTTAACCCTTTCCTGCCACAACAAATGGTCACTCAGCTCTGTCCACAAATAGTAAATATCTGCAACTACAGATGTTTTTGGTCCAAAAAACTGAAATAAGAGATCATGCTCTTCCCCCCGCCCCCAATGCACCCCCTTCCAACCAGAATGGAATCCGCTGCAAAATCTCCAGCCTTAATTCTTGCTTCAGGACCCAGACTGGGGTCTTGCTCTCGGGCAGCCAAGGGCTGAGAGGCCAGGCCTGCCCGCGTTTACCACTGTTGTCAAGCCACGGCCCTCTGGCCAGTACCTGGCCATCCTCAGCGATGTGGCCCGCCTCGGCGCCCCGCCAAGCTCCGATCACGAAGCGGCCACCAGGCGCCCTCCTGGTCCCACTGCTGCTGCAGCCCCGGGCCGCGGGCTCTGGGGAGCCGGCCGCACACAGGGCTCGCGGCCCCTGGTCGCTTCCTGATGGCAGAGCGGGGGGTGGGGAGGGCTTGTTCCCCTGCAGTATCTGTTCTGTGAAGTTTGTTAAATGTAAGGAAAGCTTAAATTCTTGTATCTTTAAAAGAGAAAATCTTATTTAACCCTTTTGTGTTCTAGATTTACTTACACACATAGCCTAGAGCCCAGTTTTAGTTTTAACATTGTGAAAATATTAAAAGAATCTTGTAACTTTATTCTTTTTTCTCCTGCTGAAAAAAAAAAATTAAACCAATCGTATGACAGTCTGGATTTCTCTGTTTCGCTGATTTTCCTAAGTGCCACCTGGATGACCAAGAAAACAGTAAAAGGTCTCCCCAGCCGGAGGGTGAACGAGGTGGAGGCTCGGGGGGGCTCACTCGTCCGTCAGAGCCCAGGCTCCACAGCTGCTGCGCCGGGTCCTGTCGGCTGGCTCTGCCTCAGGTGACCCTGGGGTGGAGGTGCGTCTGCTGGGCCCGGGCTTTGCTGGCACCAAGGGGATGTGCCTGGGGGGAGACAGGAGGAAGTGAGCACCAGCCCCGAGGGCCCCCAGGGGTGTGGGGGTGGGTGTGCCTGGGTTCTGGCACATCTGAGACCCAAACCTCCCCCAAGGACAGCCCTGGAGATGACCAGCATCTGATCGTGAGTGCTGCATCGATGATCACCTCACAGGCCTTAAGCAGGACTAGGCCGGCTCAGGGTGGAGGCTGTGACCCGCGTCTGCAGTGCCCAGGAGCCTGGGGGAGTTCTGGGAAGGCTCTGCAGAGCTGCGGTGGCCACCTGGGCCCGCACCTCTCCTGAGGGTACCAGGGGAAGTCAGCCACGCCTTCCCGCCAGCGCGTGTGCGGGCCCACAGTGGCTCGCTTGGCTTACAGGGACAGGCATGCCCGGATGCTGCCTGCCTCCCGCCCAGAGGCAAAGACAGCACGGGGCCCTGGGGGAGGGCCCACAACCTGCAGGAACCTGCATCGTTTGTGAAGAGAGCCCACATCGCGTCTCACGGCTGTGAACTCAGGACTTGTGAGTGCACACGTCTGTATTTGCTCACCTAGGCTGATGGGCAAAATGAAGTTTGCATTCTGCCCACAAATGAAACCGTCTGTGCTTCTGAACCAAGTTATCCTTTGCAGATGCTTCAGAAAAGCGGTTCCCCACCCAAAGAGGCCCCAGAGGCCCTCAGCAACCTTCACAGACTCAGAAACCCAAGACAAAGGAGGGCTGAGTTCTCTGCTGAAGCCCCTGCCCACACCCCAGCCCAGAGGCTGAGTCTGCCTCATCTCCCGTCCGCTGGTTTCTCTGCCGGCGCTGGGGGGGTGTAGCCTCAGGACCTCAGTGCTGGGAGAACCCGACAGCAGATTCCGGGCACTTCCTCCCAGGTCTCTGGGAGCTGGCGCTGCCCTCCGCAGAAGGCAGGTGGGAAAGCCAGGCGCTGAGACCTGGGGAGCCCTACCCAGGCCCGAGCTGGTCAGCGCTTGGGGCTCCCTGTGGTCCCCGCCCACAGCGTCTCCTCTTTACTGTCAGGGCCCAGGCAGATCTCGGGAGCCTCCAGTAGCCGCTGGGGGTAAACCAGGAAGGCAGGGCTAGAAGTGGCCATCGGGCAAGATGGCCTGCCATCTGAACACGGGGCAGAAAGTGGAGGCCGCCTCCCGCCGCGAATGGCACGGCACCTTTGGGCTGGCCAGTCCTGTCCTGCCCACCTGCTGCTGCTCGAGGCGGCAGCTCACCTGGCGACAGGCGGTAAGCGTGTGAGCAGTGTCCCTGGGCGCCGTGGGAGCCCAAGCGCCAGGGTTCCGCTCCCACCTGCTGGGCCTTGGCTCCTCCTGGAGCTGGCTCTCGGGCAGCAGCTTCAGCTGTCCCAGCTGCAGGGGCGCCACGGGGAGGCAGCACTGGGGGCGGGCGGCGGCAGCCTCGTCCTCCCCTGGGCTCAGGGCTGTGAAGACGAAGGATGCAGACAGTAAACGCTTGAGACCCCAGTCTCGAGGGGGATGAGGGCAGTCTTTAGACCATGAGCCCCCTGAGTGGAATATTGGAGTCCTTTTTAAAAAAATAAGAAAGGCAGAAAGTCACTTGGGATAAGGGGGCCCCTTCCAGAGTCTGCCTTCCAGCTGTGAGAGGACAGGGTGTAGGGACACAAGGCTGGGCCCGTCTGGGTAGTCGGCTGCAGGGGACGTGAGTGACCAGCCCAGCTCAACCAGACGAGAGGGAGAGCACCCCCACCCCTCCGCCAGGTCATTCCTTGAGCATTCTTTAGTGTTTTTTAAAAATAACTACTTTAAAAAGTGTGATTTTCATGAGACAAGTGCTCGGACTTGGTGCACTGGGAAGACCCAGAGGGATCGGGCGGAGAGGGAGGTGGGAGGGGGGACCGGGATGGGGAATACATGTAAATCCATGGCTAATTCATTTCAATGTATGACAAAAACCACTGCAATGATGTAAAGTAATTAGCCTCCAACTAATAAAAATAAATGGAAAAAAAAAGTGTGATTTTCAGCAGTGCACACCTGTGCTCACCTCTGCAGTGGGGGCAGCTCCCAGCCCGCGTCGGTTCGGCAGAAAGTCCCGAGTGCAGGCCCTTGGCTCTGCTGAGGTGTGGCCCGTCTCACGGACACCAGTAGGATCAACATGTCCTCTCCTCTCTCCCCACCCCTACGCAGGGCAGGGCTGGGGTGTAACTGGAAGCTGGCTTACCCTCCAGCGAGTCCCTCTCACCACTCATTCATTTTCTGCAAAACGCCAGGGCCTCACGATCCTGTCCAGTCACCCAGGTGTGACCAGGTCAGCTTCCGGGGGTTAGAAACAGGTGCATCCCGGCTGCCCTGTCCATCCTTCCTCAGCTCCTCCAGTGAGTCCTGCTGGACACCAGGCCCAGGATGACTTCTACTACAATAATGAAAACCACGGACTGCATCTTACATCCCTCAGGCTGCTAATGAGCACTGGACTCCCGCTGGAGCCACTGTCAGGACAAACAACGTGGAATCGATGGCTGCAGCCACAGAAATAAACAGAGCGTGGCTTCTACCACTGGCCACGGCCACGGCCACGGCCACCACCGCCTGCCTGGCTGCCGCCCCAGCCGCACCCAGAGGAGCTGACCACCCATGTGGAAGATGGGAGTGAAGCAGCACCAGGAAAAAACACAAAAAGCAAACCACTAATGAGAAAAAACTCTTAGAAGGAGATACATTTAATTTTGTTTTCCTCCTTTGACACCTTTTCTTCTTTGTCCGAAGGGAGGTTCTTAATTGAAGCCCCAACGGGGGAACGCTCCCTTTCTTTATTACCAGCTGGCCTCCGCACACAGGATGCTCTGCTTTTTATCACAGAGAAGACCTGCCTTTCCCTGTGGCTCTAGAAAGTATAAATGATTACAATTTTGTTATCTTCTAAATTAAAAAAAAAAGAGGTGAAGTTGACTGTGTCGGCACTGTCTGCACAGTGGTTTGACAATTGGGGTGACAACATAACTCCCGAGCAATTTTTGCACAATTCAAAAGCTGCTTTTTTCTTGGCCAAGGACTCCGTCTAACAAACACATCCCACTCTTGATGAAAATAACTTTTTCCCAACTCTTCTAGGGATAAAACACTTTTAATGCATTTGTCAGGAATCAACACACTTCATTTACTAAGATTTAAAAAGTGATCATTTAAAGAGCAATTGAGAAGAGCCCCACATCCATCATGGGTTCATGCTTCTAACTAAAATCAGAAGGAAAAAGCACTGAGAATATGGGAAGACAAGTGTGAGTGTTTGAAGTTCCGAGTGCTTGGCACCCGGCCTCACCTGAGCCGGCCTTGACTGGGGCACACGTGGCACGTGCCCCCCCGCCGTGCTCAGAGCCAGCCCTCCAAGGAGCTCCAGGAGGTGACTGAACACTTTTCCCCAAAGTCCCAGAGAAGTCTGCCTCTTACTCTGCACAGAGCTTTATCCAAAGTGAAGGGCAAGAGCCTCCGGTCGTTCTGTCTCGTGACCTGTTACAAAGGTGGTGTTTCCAGCAAAGGGCCAGAGGCCACGAGCACCCCTCTGTCCATCTGCCCCGACCTCCTCAAACCCCTTCCGTGCAGCTGCATCCTCGCCGGGGGCCCTCTGCCGCCGCCCCCTCCCAGCCTGGTGCCCACAGCTCCCCAGGGACTCGGCCGCCACCCTCTGCTGGGCGGAGGGGTCTGGTGGGGCTCCCTGAAGCTGGGTCTCAGCCTCTGCACTCCCTCTCAGGTCCGTGGGTTTCTCCGAGTTTGGGGGCCATTTGGCTCCCAGGGCGGGGTGGGGGGAGTCCTCTGGAGGACTGGCCCGGCCTCTAGAGATGCCAGTCCCCTGGGGACTTACTTGTTCTTGACTGCCTCCCATTCCCCAAACCAGAAGGCTCATCAGGGAAGGCGGAGCCCTGCCTGGTAGCAGGAGGCAGACCGGCCCTGCTGAGCCTCGTCCGCGTCCAGAACAGGCTTCCAGACCACCGGAGCCCCCGGGAGGCAGCTGCCGGGGAGGGGCAGCCTCGCTGTCCCTTCCGTCCCTTTATGTGATAACGAGGGCGAGTGAAGTGCTGCAGGAGCGGGGAGACAGTTCTGTTCTCCAGACCGACCTCAGGGTGGAGAGAATTCGTGGGACGAGAGCAGGGCTGAGCCGCTGGCCAGCCCGGCATGCTCCGTGCCTCCTGGTCGGCAGCTGAGCGGCCAGTCCCGTGTGTGGACGGGGAGGGACACCGCGGGGCCACAGCCGGAAGGCTCCGGGCCTTCCCCCGGCCAGTGGTGCTGGCCTCCAGGCTGGGACTCCTCTCCGGACAGGTGACTCCACGAGGAAGCCCCTGCACAGGTGCTGCCTACAAAGCATTTGAACCTTGCCGGCGTCCGAGTCCCCTGCTGCTCCTGTTCCCCGGTCGGCAGTGAACAAGCCGCCGGAGGAGGTGCTGGGTGGACACGAATTCCAGGCTCTAATTGGCGACCAGGGGCTGGACGCTGAGGGAGGTGGTCACCCACCCACGGCGAGCAAGCGAGCAGCCCCATTTGTTACGGAGCCCTCCCCCAACGGTGAAAAGCTGCCCCCCAACTCAGGGGTTCCCCCCACACGGGGGGAGGCAGAAATCAGAGTCACAGGCACTGATGGGGACCCGCAGGAAGACGGCCATCTGGTTTATTCATGCAGCTTGAAGCGACCCCACTCCTCCGGACCGATAAACCACTCACATCTACGTCACACTGGGAGGAGAGAGCCGACACGCTGGCTCTTTGCACACCCACGACCAATGTATGCTTAAGACAGCAAGAAAAGTGGCCGCCCTGCCTCAGGCAGGGAACGCGGAGGGCCTGACCGCCGCAGCCAGCCCGGGAGAGCCTGGGGAGGGGCGCTCACAGGGCGGTCAGCGCCGGGCGGACATCACTCAGACATGCGGAGCAGATCAAGCGACAGCTGTCAGATGAGATGGTTTCAATGAGGATTAAGAGGAAAGCTTAGAACTGATTTGTTCTTTCCCAATCCCTGGCAGAGTATTATGGTCTGGGGGAAAAGCAGCAGCCGCTGACCACCAGCGGGCAGGAGGGGCCCCTCTTGCATTCCAGACCCTGACCGGCAGGACGGCTGCCTCCACGCACCTCCACTAACCTGCGGCAAACAGGGCATGTCTGCCCAGCCAGGAGCTGGGGCACGTTTATCTGTGCCTACTTCTGAATGTGAAATTAGCTGGTGCATAATCACCATTTCCTTGTCAGCCTCCCAAGCTTAAAGGCGGGATACGTTTCAGGAATGACAGGTTAATAACCTGGCACTTCGAGTGATTATTAACTCCAGTGTCCGCAGATTGATTTGTTCATTGTGTATTTTGTTGAACTTCCTCAAAGGATTTTCCTTGTCAGACCATGAAGCCCTGCCTCCATGCCGCCCTGAGGAGACGCGCACACTATTTTTCTGCTCTACCCCACACTCCACCATTCAAAACTAAGGAAGGAAAATTACAGCATCAAAAGGGATTAAAACAAGTGATTTGCGGTTTGAGCCTTTCAAAAAGATCTGGAACACTTATGATTCAGCAAATGGATAGTAACTAAAAGAAATAAAAAACCACTTAGTTGCCAGGGCAATGTGTTCCATAAAAGTAAACACACTATGAAACCTACTTCCCCAGGGCGCCTCTGGGTGAAGGCCTGATACACCCCCTTCCAGGCCCTGTCCACGGGCAGTTTCTGTATGCTGACCCGGGCCTGTCTATTACTTCCTTCTGTGCCCTTTGAGGGTTAGATTAGAGAGGTAGGGTGTTAATGGAGGACTTGATGGAGATTGAAGACCCACTCTCTCCCTCTGGAGACCAGCCTGATTTGAACAAATTGAGGAGAACAGAGCAGCCCCTTTGTGTCCTTGGGAGGAAACGCGTTCTGTGTCCCTTCCGGCGGCCAGGTCTGCTCCTCCAGGGGAAGGGTGTGGGGGAGTCCACAGGGACCCCTGCTCGGGCAGGGGACACGGCTCCCGCGCCACCTGGCCACCCGAGTCTCTCCACACGTGCGATTCTTTATTGGTGCTGCCGGGTGGGTGAGCGCGAGTTGGAGCCGGGGCTGGAGGGCAGGGAGCTGCCGCTGGGGGCCTGCAGGGCATGGGGGTCGAGCTGCTGACCGGCCGCGCTGGCGTCCCCTGTCCCGGACTCGTCGCTGTTGTCCTTCTGGCCACTCTGCTGCTCGGGACACTCAAAGTGGACACAGTGGAACACCTGGCGAGAGAGGAGAGGCGGTGAGTGCGGGTCGGCGTCTGCCCCCGGGGTCACGGTCCCCAGGGGAGTTAGAGAGGGTCCTCTGCCTCTCTGCTGCAGGCGCAGACAGGAGTAGCTAGAAGGCTGGAAAAGTAAGTGGGCTGATGGTCTAAGAGTTACAGGCAGCGTGGTGTCGATTCCTATAAAACGTTCCCACTGCACTTCTCTGCTTTCGGTTACTTTGGTCTTATGAGCTTTTCTTTCTCTTTAAATTAACTAATTCTTACATCTGGAAGTTGGGTTAGAAGCTAGTGGCGTTAATGGTGGTGGCGATGGCTGCATGACTCTGAAAATACTAGAAACCAATGAATTGTATGCTTTAAATAGGTGAGTCGTGTGGCATGGGAATTGTGCTGCCATGAAGTCCTCTTCTAAGAAAAGCCAGCAGGGCATTACCCCAGGGGAGGACCCAGGCTCATCTCCAAGGGACCAAGGAGCCGGCTGCCCTCATGCCGTGCCTCAGGAAGGAACACGTTCTTGGTATGAATTCATCCTCTGGGCAGCAGTGCTGGGGCGGGAACTTCAACCCTACGGGACTTGGGCCGACTGGGAGCAGACCCCCTCACGTGGAGGAGTGGGCCTCCCACAGGACCCAGGCGATGCTGGGTGACTCCCGTGTGATGCACTCAGGAAGCGCCACTGAGCAGACGGCTGGGCACCGCAGAGCTCTGCACGCAAGCGTGAGCCTTGGCCCTGACCGCAAGCAAATGCAGCACAGCTGGGGTGGCGGGAGCCTCGCCCGGCACAGGAGAGACAGCTGGGCGTGAGCCGGGGCCGCGGGGGCAGCCCCCGTCAGAGCAGGGTCTGCAGGGGAGCCCTTCCCAGCGCACACAGGAAGTCCCCGTTCCGGTGTCTAACGACCACATCCTCCTGGGGTCCCTGCTCCCTGTCCTGAGCTCTCTGCAGTGAGGTCTTCAGTCTGGGGGACACACATCTAGTTTCCAAGAAGCATGCTGGCAGTCTTCAGGGAATCAATTTCCAGATCCTCAAATTCTGTATTTTCCAAAACTGCCTGAGAAGTGACTGAATGCTGACACCCTTGCCCACATCACGAGAGGAAAGCCCAGCTCTGACCTGCCCTTGCTGGGTACCACTGGGGCACACCAAGCCTTGGGTGAACATGCACTCTCCCAGGAGTGAGGGCCCTGGTGGGGCCTCGAGAGGGGGAAGCGTGGCCTGGGGGAGATGTTCTGAACTCAGAACTTAACTGCATATGTGACTCATGTAATTCTTTTAAACGTAACTGGAATTTTTTCAGAATTATGAAGACATTCTCCAAATACATTGGCTAAAACCCATGAATGATTCCACAATTATTTTCAGATTTGGTGTCCCTTAATTCAACGAGTTGGTTAAAATCTAACTTAGCAAATCATGTCATCAACTATGTATTCCTAATAATTAGCCCTCATCTTCCATCTTTTAAAATGTTTATTTTTTCCTATATCATATTGACATAAATAATTATAAACTTATGAACAAATGTTTTACTTAAAATGTTTGAAAAATTATACTTTTTTTCCCAAAGCTCTTTTAGGGGATATGCAGACGGAAGAACTATACAAAGAAAGTCTTAATGACTGGAATAACCATGATGGTGTGGTCACTCACCTAGGGCCAAACATCCTGGAGTGTGAAGTCAAGTGGGCCTTAGGAAGCATTACTATGAGCAAAGCTAGTGGAGGTGATGGAATTCCAGCTGAGCTATTTCAAATCTTAAAAAGATGATGCTGTTAAAGTCCTGCAATCAATATGCCGGCAAATTTGGAAAACTCAGCAGTGGCCACACCACTGGAAAAGGTCAGTTTTCATTCCAATTCCAAAGAACGGCAATGCCAAAGAATGTTCAAAGTACCGCACAATTGCACTCATTTCACATGCTAGCAAGGTAATGCTCAAAACAAGCTAGGCTTCAACAATACATGAACCAAGAACGTCCAGATGTACAAACTGGATTGAGAAAAGGCAGAGGAACCAGAGATCAAATTGCCAACATCCACTGGATCATAGAAAAAGCAAGGGAATTCCAGAAAAACATCTGCTTTACTGACTATGCTACAGCCTTTGACTGTGTGGATCACAATAAACTGTGGGAAATTCTTCAAGAGATGGGAATACCAGACCACCCTACCTGCCTCCTGAGAAATCTGTGTGCCGATCAAGAAGCAACAGTCAGAACCGGATGTGGAACAATGAACTGATTCCAAGTTGGGAAAGGAGTGTATCAAGGCTGTATATTGTCACCCTGCTTATTTAACTTACATACGGAACACATCCTATAAAATGCCGGAATACATCCTACAAAATGCCTGGAATCCAGGTTGCTGGGAGAAATACCAGTAACCTCAGGCATGCAAATGACACCACCCTTAGGGCAGGAAGTGAAGACGAACTAAAGAGCTTCTTGATGAAGGTGAAAGAGGAAAGTGAAAAAGCTGGCTTAAAACTTAACATTCAGAAAACTAAGATCATGGCATCTAGTGCCATCACTTCATGGCAAATAGAAGGGGAAAAAATGGAAACAGTGAGAGACTTTATTTTCTTGGGCTCCAAAATCACTGTGGACAGTGATTGCCACTGTGAAATTAAAAGATGCTTGCTCCTTGTAAGAAAAGCTATGACAAACTTAGCATATTAAAAAGCAGAGATATCACTTTGCCAACAAAGGTTCATATAGTCAAAATTATGGTTTCTCCAGTAGTCATGTATGGATGTGAGAGCTGGGCCATTAAGAAGGCTGAGCACCAAAGAATTAATGCTTTCAAACTGTGGTGCTGGAGAAGACTCTTGAGAGTCCCTTGGACAGCAAGGAGATCAAACCAGTCAATCGAAAAGGAAATCAGTCCTGAATATTCACTGGAAGGACTGATGCTGAAGCTCCAATGCTTTGGCCACTTGATATGAAGAGCCACTGGAAAAGACCCTGATGCTGGGAAAGATTGAGGGCAGGAGGAGAAGGGGGTGACAAAGGATGAGATGGTTGGATGGCATCATCAACTCAAAGGACAGGAGTTTGAGCAAATTCTGGGAGATAGTGAAGGACGGGGAAGCCTGACATGCTGCAGCCCATGGGGTTGCAAACAGTGGACACGACTGAGCAACAACAATAAAAACAACTTGTGTGAAGGCCATTGCTTATAGAACTGAGGAGAC